CGCCAAAAAAGGAGCACCGGATCATTTGAAAAAAGCGCATTTGCATGGAGAGAGAGAGAGAGAGAGATGATTTGCGAGTTGCATAAGAAATGGTAAAATAGCCGTTCATAAAGTGAAGTACCCCTCAAAAGGTCCGGTTTATTTCATTTTAAGGATGCGCACCAAGCAACATCTCCAGGTGCTTCTTTGAGAACCAGGGCAAAAAAGTTATGTGCACCCCTGGTCATAACGATGTTTTGGCTTGTGTAACCATCAGCCAATCAGCAACCAAGGTAACCCCCTCCCCCCCTTATCACCTGAATCTCCTCCTAGAGCACCATTGACTTCAGACAGAGAATCAGCACTTTGGAAACAGGGCTGAAACAGAGGGGATTATGGGATGCTGCAATGATCTGTTTGGTGTTTGGAGCCAAACACTTCAGAGACATGTTTTGTATATATCTGAGACCTGTGATATTTTGATGACAAACAGTATGATAGGGGACCTTTAAAGCTCATGTACCTGCATGTTTCTTGCTTTTCTAAACTTGTATCTTCATGGTCTATTTCACATTTGGATAAAGCCTCAGCTAAATAAGATGTAATAGATGGCTGTCTGTTCCTTGAACCTACGCCAAGGCCCATTTATAGGCTGATAAAAACAGGTTTAACTACTCAACCCTGCTCAGATTGTGCCCCAAACATCTCCATTAATAAAAGCCTTTGGTGCAGCTGGCGTCCGAACAGCAACTACAACAGAGCACTTCTTATTTCTGAGAGTCTCGTTGCTAAGAAGCACCAAACTCGTCTGTTTGGAGCTTTTCCCGAAAGGCGAGGCTAGATCCCTCTCTTGTCTACAATTTCACTTAACAATTACCTTGAATGCAGACTGCAGGTTATTGTGTGTCACACCACTTAGAGCGAGGAAATATTCAAAAGGCTCTCGAGCCTGTCAAATGAGGAACTGGTAACTGTATCCTTTACAATAGGACACCACGTTATAAGGAAAAGGCTTATCGCTTAGTGTCTGTCTGTGAGAAACTGTCTTTAGAAATACAGACGGACAGGAGGGAAGGACATAAGGAAACTGTTTTATATAATCTGACACAAAACACAGCTTTGGAAAACGATGCAGATGCCTTTAACCTGTTTAGCCCTGAGCCTGTTTTTCAGGTCTCAGGCTCGAAAATTACATTCCCAGAACAAATGACCATAACTTAACTTCTAAAAGGGGTAAATAAATAATATTTTTTCTCAAATCAAGGTTACACCTGTGAGTTGGATGTAGAAAAGTCAGAATCCATATGGATGTTTTTTATTTTAAAGTAAATTCAGATTGAACATAGCAAAAAAAAACATTACTTAAAGAAAACCACCCTTGAATGATGGGATGGTAGAATAAAAGCTTTAGGAATCCAAACTATGACATATAATAAGTACCCCGTATCAAGATTGATGCAAAACAAGTGACATTTGACCTTTTAGAGAGGTTTAGAACAAAAGAACCCACTTCTGGGGTCATTTGGGTGGATTTGACCTATCTCTGGCCCCCCTTGGTCGATTGTGATGATTGCCACCTCTTTTTAACCGTTAGAGCCAATGGAATTAAGGGGAAGTATGTGGAACATGTTACCAAATAAGGAGTGAGAGTGACGCGTAGCTAGAATACCCAAAACAGGAAGCTGTCATACACTCAAGTAGCTATCATTAGCAGCTAATATGAAAACTCAGTTTTTGACATATAAATTGAATTATGGATTATCAGTAATTTTTTCAAAGTGACGGACACATTGGATGAACCATTGGATTAACCTTCAGCCGCGTTTTTATTGTTTTAATGTCATTGAACACGACTTTTGAACAGAATAACAGCAAAAGTTGAGCATATCTCCGTTTTTTGCTACCTAAAGCTACGTTGTGTGATGTCTGCGTTTGCTTACGCTGTCACGAGTTCTGATCGATCCGTGATGATACTGATATTTCTGGAATCTGTGGAATCTCAGCTTGCTAATCGATATCTTGTACGTGCAGTTACGATAAGTAATAAGGGTAACCCTTATTACTTATCGTAACTGCACGTACAAGATATCGATTAGCAAGCTGAGATTCCACAGATTCCAGAAATATCAGTATCATCACGGATCGATCAGANGCAGCTAAAAACAAAACAATTAAATTGATTATAACATAATTTTTCCCAACAAACTACCGTCTTTTATCTAAATATGCAAGCAAACCACACAACATATACATTTGCGAAAGGTTAATTTAAAAGTGGATTTGTCGGTCGCATGGGCGGTGCCAGGATTTTTTTGCTGCAGTAGTTGAGCAGCTTGCTATGACAGCACGGCGTTGCTAGTTAATTTTCAAAATAAATAAACAAACAATACCAGTGGGCCAAGCACGAGCCTGTTCATATTGTAAGCGTTCACCGCTATTCAAGATCCAGATAACTTGAGCATTCATGTCGAAAACGTTCTCTTTATTTCTGGTATTGACGGCCACAGCCAGCCTTACAGAACCAATCAATAGTAGCCTATAACCAGCCGAGTCAACCCTCCCGATTTTCGCGGGAGACTCCCGATTTCATTGCCCTCTCCCAGTTTCCTCCGGGGTCATATTTCTCCCGATTTCTGACAAAATCAGATAGCTCAGGACTGTTTCCACTCGGACTTTAATACAGCTACACCATTGTTTGGTTTCCATGGTAACACGTCTCTTTAGTAGCGCGCGCGCAACTGAAAGTCTGACAAGGTGAGGCAGATAGTCACAGAAAACAGAACAAGAATCGACAACTACTCTACTCGCTGCTCACTTTTTTCCTGCCACACATATGCTCCATCAAGGATGGTGCTACAGGCGCAAGGCATTGCACTTAGAACTACAATAAGCATGTTAATGTTAATCTAACAGCTGCCGGCGATAAACTAGCACCCCGCCCCCACCCCTCCATTTTGCATTTGAAATGCTCCCTATTTCTGAGGTCTCAAGGTGGCAAGTATGAGTATAACACTCATTATGACTTTTCCCCACAGTCCGAAGACAACTCCTACCGCCTCGTACTCCCTCCACACACACACACACACACACGCACACACACACGCACACACACACTGGAAAGACACACACACACACGCACACGCACACACACACACACGCACGCACGCACGCACACACACAACACACACACACACACACACACACACACACACACACACCACACACACACACACACACACACACACACACACCTGGAAGGGCGGTCTCTCCCTAACTCCCACCAACAACATTGCCTAGATAACTTTACAAATGTACTAAACTATGCACATCTGATAACTGACATAACTATTAACTTGGACACGCTACAATATTATCATTCATATTTACATTAAAAGATTCCTTTGACACTTATAACATTACTTTGCAAGGTAAGCACAACCAAAATAAGTTTGTAAAAGCAGAATTTGAACACTGTTTCTGTGCTCCAACAATATTTTTGTAAAATACCATTACACCCTAAGCGTACAAGTACACAATAGCGCTCGTTCACTGTTTCAACTGGCATGCTGTGGCATTTAACCTCATCACCTCACGGACCGGCTCCGTTGGAGATCGCGGTCGTTTACGCTGACTTGTGAGAAATCTTTCCATTTTCGATCTGTGTTCACACACTGAGAATTATAACAACATTAGCCAAGTAACAGTTTGCGCTTTAACTTACAACGACCCCTGATAGATCTCGCGAGAATGTGTATAAATATAGATACATTTTCATAACAAAACAATGGGGTTGCTAAGCCGTTGCTAGGCCAATTGTTGGAGTTGCTATAGCAACTCTGGATCAGTTCCGTTGTACCCCCCCGTCTTTAGAGATTTGGGTACGGAGGAAAAGAGAGGGTTTTATTTTCTGGCGCTGCGTGAGTTCCCCGACACAACGGGGACACATTAAAATCAAGCAACACAACAACAACCACACATTAAAAGCCAGATTGAAGAGGTGAGTTTTTGTACGTTTTTTGAAGGTGGTGAGGTCAGTGCAGTCTCTGAAAAACAATCCCTCTGAGAAACATCCTCTCAGATCCTCCTGCCTGAAACACCTGAACTTCAGCAGAGGGGCTTTTTAAATATCATCTGCCTTTTATCCAAATATGCACAAAAAATCCGGAACTTAGACCACCAATCCACCTCCAGAACTTCCAGTACTTCACACTAACTGGATTGAAAGAAAAAATGCTGGATTTAATCGAAAGACTCTGAGCAGAAGGGATCAAACCCAGATGTAGTCCTTCTTCAACTCACATGCAATAAAAGTGAAGCTAAAAGCCTGAAGCTGTAGATCAGTTAGACGGGAATATGAGCTGCAGGATTACATCTGTTCGGTTCACTTTGAGGTGCAATAACATGCATACACACACATGTAATTAAAGTGAAGTATAATTTGTATTCCTGGTTTTCTTACACACTTACCGCGCTGTATTTATTCCATCCGTCATGTCAGCGTTGTGTTTGAGAGAAGAAACCTGAGTCTGAACTCTTTGTTTTGAGTTGTTGGCAGAACGCTGCAGGCTTCAGAGTCAAAGTCAGCTTTAAAAAATCTTTGACTTTGACCCTAATGAGATCTGCAAGAGAACAAATCTGCAAGAGTTGATATTAACATTAAAGCCAGAGTGCAGCAGAACAGCTGGAGGTGATTAGCGTGTTAGCTCAGCGTTAGCACATCTGTAAGTGGTCTTTGCGGAATATGATAAAGATTATTTATCCAACTAATGAGACAAGAATAACTCATATGGACTATTTATGGATTTTTGTAGCCTTTCTTTTCCCATTATCCTTTTTTGCATTTTAAGAGGGATTTACTTATTTAATTATCTACGAAAACTGACCGTTTAGCTGTGGTGGAAAACACAATGAGATACTTGTACTTTAATGAGTATTTTTTTATATTATCCTACTCTATGCTCTTTTTAAATTGTTTGTGATTTAAGCCTTTGTACAGTAGACCATTTACATGCACTAAAACCTATATAGCAGCGGTTTCCAACCTGTGGGCCGCGGCCCCCTAGTGGTCCGCGAAAGCCTTGCAAGTGGGCCACCAAATAATTTGCAAAACATTATGATTTGTATTTTTTTATTTGAACCTCTTTTCCTTTCTCTTTCTTAATCCTCCTTAGCAACGGTCATTACAGTCCTTGACAGCGGTCTGTTCTACTGGATTAACAACGTGTCACATGTTCTGAATTGACCAATCAGAATCGAGTATTCAACTAAACCGTGTAATGAAAATGACTGTTTGTTACTGATGGCCAACTCCTTTTCTAATTAAAATAAAAAGTACTTTATTTAGCCTCCGTATTGTTTATGGTTGAATGTGGGCCGCGAACATTTTTAGATTCTTAAGTGGGCTCTGAGTTGAAAAAGGTTGGGAACCACTACAATATAGGAAACGGGAAATCCCCAAAAGCAGAATAGGGCATCTTTTAATTCTTACTCTGATTGTTATATATATAATATTTCAAATATTGTATTCAATGTTATCTTTCTATTGCTCATTCTTATTTACTCCTTATGTATACAGTACATCTTGTATTCAGTTTTTTTTATGTGTATACCTCTCTTCTAGTTTAGATATTCAGACTCCATGGGTCGTTTTTTTGGTGCAATTTCCTCTGAACTCCTGATCGTTCCAACGACAGCTTCCTCTGAACTCTTGTTTCTGTTTGCCCTGCAGGAACTTTGAATCAGAACAAGCCACAACCTGCCAACATTTTGTCAAACAATATTGTACTTTCAACTGCGCAAGCATACATTTTATTTGTCTGCTTATTTTGAAAACTATTATAATCTTTTTATTATCTATCCAACCTGATGCAACATTAAGGGTCTCCTATCATGCAAAATGCACTTCTTGATGTCTTTTCTACATCACTATGTGTCCCCGGTGTCTTGGGGAACTCACGCAGCGTCAGAAAATAAAACCCTCTCTCTTTTCCTCCGTACCCAAATCTCTAAAAACGGGGGAACAACGGAGCTGATCCAGATTTGCGTCCGATATGACGTAATATCTGAAATGTGGACCCACGGCCCTATCAGAAACGTTGCTATCAGAAACAATGCCTGACTGTTTTGGACGTAATATGGTCGGTGTTTACATTAGCATCGCTAACACTCAGAGCTAACCTGTACTGGAGAGCATGTGTGTGAAGAAGCAGGAAATAAAAAGGAACTCACCTTGTGATAAACCTGAGAGAGAGAAAGAGTTTGCGCTCCATACTGTTTCAGAAATAATCCTTGATGTGGTTTGGAACATGATATGGCGTTTCATCACGGCAGTGTTTAGCTGACAATCTGCCGTCGAATCTCCCGCATAAGCTCCGTCCCCCTTTTAAAGAAAAGCTTTATACCCAGAATCAGCACTTCTCTAACAGGGCTGAAGTAGAGGGGTTTGAGGCTAGAATGGGTGATCTGTTTGGTATTTTGAGCAAAACACATCATAGACATATTTTTTATATATTCTTATATATCTGAGACCCATGCTTTGCCTAAAAATAGCGTGATAGGTGACCTTTTGAAGCATGGATTATAATGCATCAATATAATGTGCATAATGTGTATTTTTGGCAAATAATATATAAAAAAACAAAAAACAATTGCACTGGTAGGAATGAAATCAGTGTGTGTATAAAATGTGTTATCTCCTATAATATCTCATATGTTTTGGGTTCCCGCCATGGTGTTTGCTTTGTTAGTACCTCAACAGCTTCCTCTGAAACCTTCTGTTTGCTTTTCAGGAACTTTAAATCAGAACAACTGGGCCAAGAAGTTCCCGTCCTGCAGCAACGCCAAGCAATCCCCCATCAACATCGAGGAGAGTCTGGCCCAGGTGAAGCTTCAGTTTCAGAAGCTCCGGTTCGAGGGCTGGGAGACGCTGACGTCCGAAAGGACAACCATCAAGAACGATGGGAAGACCGGTAAGAGATCTCCTGAATCCTTGTGTTGTGTTCGAAAGCAGTTACCATTCGCTGGTCCATTTTGAGCCATGATTTATCTCAGTCCAAAACACTCAAAAATAATGACTATCATCCAATATTGTTTGAATTACATCATAACTTATTACGCATTCATAACCATACAATCCTGTTGTTATTTAATTGTATGGCGCTAAAACACATTACACCACATATTTAAGTAAAACATGATTAAATTCACTCATTATATTCCCTATAGTGAAGAAAGTGGATAATTATGTTATCTGACTATGATAGACTAATATTAGAATACAATTGCCACAAAAAAAGTTTGTACAACTTCATATTATTAACTACAGTAATCTCCGTGGTGTTACGGGTAAAAATGGATCCATATAGATTCATGCTAGAAAAAGGTAAAAAAAGGAAAAGTTTTTGTTGGTCAATGTTGTTTGTGCCCCGCCCCCACAAGGTGTGTGTGTGTGTGTGTGTGTGTGTGTGTGTGTGTGTGTGTGTGTGTGTGTGTGTGTGTGTGTGTGTGTGTGTGTGTGTGTGTGTGTGTGTGTGTGTGTGTTTTTCGATCTTTGAGAAAGGTGTAGTTCTATGTAGTGTTTATATAGCTGTTGTGGAGGATATCATGAAGCCTTGTTCCGATAAAAAACTCTAGAGCGTAGTTGTTATATAATGTTAACTTTGAAACGGGTCACGGGAGACCTGAACACAACATAAGGGTTAATCCACGTTTCATTCATATAATAACTAATGATCAAAGGATGTCGTAGTGATGGAACTTTTGTATTAACACTGCATCGTGTAATAACTTCACTGCATATACAAAGCCGGAACGTATATCATTTTGTTATAAATGATTATATATTGCAGTGGTTATTACAAAATAGGGTTTCGAAAAAATGTAAAGAAATAAAATGAAAAATCTGGATTGAATAATAACACAATATTCATATTTAAATAATAAATATGTTATGAATATTAATTACAAATATTATGGCATTATAAAACATGTTGTTTGGCCTAAGTGTTACATATTCCCTAGCTGTCCTATCAAATATCTTGTATTACATCGTGATTTCATTCATTCTGTTTATTACAAAATGTGGCAGATTAATACAAAACTGCATGTGTTATTGCATAATACAAGGAAATGTATAAATTAGAAAGTAATGTTTTATTACAAGCTTCCAGATAGTTGCATAACATATCCTTTCCTTAGCTTTTTAGTTAACACAACTTTACCGTTGTGTTTCCTCTCAACGCTATTACTGTTACGTTTTCAGATGAAAAGCTGAATAAATCCACACCCGGCTCGTATTAAAAAGTCTACAGAAACATGTTAGAGACTAGAAGGTGCACACAGTGGAGCATCTAGCAGTTAAAGGGACGGAAGTTTCCCTTAGGAGCTGGTGGAGACCAAACACAGAGAAAATTGGACTTGCTTTGAGTAGAAACAAGACTCCTAATGAGTCATATTGTTCTGATGTGAGCTGCTGGTTGCTAACATGTTAGCAACGACTACTTTTTATGGTCATAATATGTCAGTTTTGTGTTTTGAGCTTACTCTGAATGCTGCTTTAACTCTGTAATGCTGTTAAAGTTTTTTGCAGTACACAAGGTCAACACCTCTTTAGCTTAAGCTCTTATATCATGTTTTTTCATATATTCCTTAATTTATTGGTATTCTAGAGTCTGTCGATCCAGGGTGTGATTTTTTTTTTCTTGAGTTTTAACATGAGCTTTTTAGGCTTAAAAAAGTTGCACATTGACATCATCTTTTTTTTTATTATAATAAACAAATGAAGTAAAAGTTAACGGGCTTTTTTTCACGAAACTGTCTCAGGGCTTCTTAAAATGTAATATACTATGAATGTGTCATACTCACTTAATGGGAAGAAACTCAGCTAACTGACGATATGAACCATTTTTACCGAAACAAAACAAAAAGTCTCACAAGAAGCGTCTAAATGAGCCCTGAGCAAAAAGATTCTAACGCACTTAGCACAGAACTCACGGTATAAATACCCTTATTACTTATCGTAACTGCACGTACAAGATATCGATTAGCAAGCTGAGATTCCACAGATTCCAGAAATATCAGTATCATCACTGAGCGATCAGAACTCGAGACAGAGTAAGCAAACACAGACATCACACAACGTAGCTTTAGGTAGCAAAAAACGGAGATATGCTCACCTTTTGCTGTTATTCTGATCAAAAACGAGAAAAACGCGGTTGAAGGTTAATCCATAGGTTAATCCAATGTGTCTG